CTGGGAAATGGGGAGAGACGGAGAAGAGTGTGTTAAAAGTGGCTAGTCTTTCTACATTCAGTTTTCAATTAAGTTCCAACAAAGAAAGAAGCACTCTGCATTTCTATTCCCAGTTGAAAGTGTTTTTATAGACGCTCATTAAAATCCCCAGCACTTCCTTAGAATAAGAAAATAGTATATCTGCACAGTATTATCTATTTAACTGTTGGAAAAAGTGAACTAGCAAGGTTCCAGTTTTATGTTCATTAAAAACATACACACACACACACACACACACACACACACACAAAACAATAGTCTGTTCCCCTCTCTTGGGGGAAACTATTTCCACTCTTCACTGAGTCTCTCCTTTATGTAAAGGATGCTAATAGAACCTGTCTTGTCAAATGATCCATCTGACAAATTACCCCAAGCAAGACTCCACCCATGTATTTCCATCATTTGACAGGTAACCCTAGTTTTTCAATAGATAGTATGTGAAGTTGGTAGTTTATCAACTTTCCTGTTATTTCTCATGGAGACTGGTGACAAACACTTGGTGGTGGCACTGGGGATGGGGTGGAGGGGAAGGAAAGAATAAATGGGAGGAAAACTTTTTAAGACCACAAAAAGTAAAATACATTGAATTATACCACACTAAAATAGAACTCAGATAAAGATTTTAAAAGCAAACCTATGAACATAAAACTCCTCTAAAAAGCCAGCATTAAATATGAAGAGTGCAAAAGTAATAAAGTGCCCAACAATTTTTGCAACCTTACAAGCCACAGTAGATACAAAATTTAAGCAAAAGGGTCTTTGACCTTTTTAACCTTAGCTGAGTTCAGATCCACCCCCAGAACTCCCTTCCTGCCTAGTGTGAATGTAATTAAGGGGAAGCTGCAGTGGTAATTTCTCTCCTCATTAACTTCCTGATTGGTTTCAGCCTCAGGATTTTGCCGGGCAGTAGTTTGTCACCAATTCCAAATGGCCAATCGTTAATACTAATGTTTGTGTAACTAACTGCCAGCATCTGCCACGGCTTCTTGTACAACAATAATGGTGAAAGGGTACATTAGTGCTCCTGTGTTAATTCAGCTTGTGTTCATCAATAGGGAAATCTATGATGTAATTAGCAAAATGCATTGGGAGCTGAGTGTTGAAGTCATTTGTAGAGAACTAAATCATAGTAGAAGCTGTACTGGGTCCTGATGTGTTTGCCATCAATACTTACTATGTTTGGAATTTAATAAGGTATATTACCGTGCTGAAGAGACCTTTTTATAAGAGAACACCATTTATGCTTGTTATGGGTTTGGAAAAGGTTTGCTGCAGCTAGTGAAACTACACAAAAATAAAAGAACAGGGCTGGGATTTAAGAAGCAGACCTTTAACCACTGCACTGGACCAAATTATTTCAGAAAGGCCCTTTCTTCTAATGTGACATATGGACAGACAGACAGACAGTTCTGTATAGCTACCTCATATCCAGTAAGGAAAGGTGTGATCTAAAGACTTGGTAAGTGAATACATTTGAAAAATAATTTAGGCAATTTCCTTTAAGCCATTTTGATATTGACAGTATTTGTTTAGTAACTTAAATAAAATACGAGGGTAACAGTGTGTAAACTTTATTTTTTAAAAAGGAACCATTAAAAATAGTACTTTATAGATCCCAATAAGGGTGCACATGCATATGTGAATATATGATGGCAGCCGAAAAAACTGGGAACCTAGGAATTCTGAAGCCTTCATTTCGTTGCAATTCACTAAGGCTCTTACTAAATTTGAATTGTTAAATGGATTTTAAATTCCCTGCAAATCTAAGATGAATTATGATTGCGTTACATAAACAATGATATTTTATATACATAAATGTTTTCCAAAGGTGGTAGACTTTGCTGTGACACCTTGTTACTATACAGAGATCTGGAGAGCTAACAGTCAGCCAGAGTGTCCATTAGTTAATCTGCCAACCTCCATCCCCACCTCAAATCAGGGACAGAAGTTCTGTATAGGAGCAAAAGGAAGGGAATGAACATTTACTAATTCCTGTGTGCTACATACTTTACTGAGGTATTCTCTCCATTTTATCTAAGGGAACCTGTGGAAGCTGCCAAGGGGAGTGTGCCACTGGTCAGCCTGACCCTCCGGCTTGCTCTCATCCATCCATGCACCATCCTGGGGTACCCTTTAGTCACTGGCCACAGAACCTTCCTAATCTCTGTGGGAGTTGAAGGAGGCAAAACAACTGACGCTTATCAGATGAACACACACACAGGCCATAAAGAAATAGGCCAAGGGCTCTCCAGATGTTCTGAGCCCTGGGCCTGCCTTTGCCTTCAGTCAGCAGCTGACCTAGGAGATGCCCCTCACCGCAGTCATACACCTCCCACTCCCCATGTATCAGGTTTGGGACTACAAAAGGGAGGGGTAGGAATTCTGTAGAAGAAAGGAATTTGGGGCTAGACCCCTTTTGCTCTCCCTTGCCTTGTGGGTATTTTCTTGGAAAGTATTCCTATGACTTGGGGCTACAAACACATGCAGAGTGTCACCTGCAGAGGCTAGGGAGGCTCTACACATACTTAATACGTACTTGACTGCACTACAGAGAAAATGCAAATGAATGAATCAACCTGTTTCAAAACATACTTGTATTTTTAAAAGCATTTCTTCACTCAAAATTTAAATCCATGTTATTTTACTTCTGTTCAAGGCTTAGCATTATTTTTGAATAATGGCTGTTGAAATTAAGGATAGTACCTGTTTAACTCACTTTGTGCAGTGAGTAGATCCAAGTGCATTAAAGATTTCGTACGTGTTTATCTTAGTAACTAACGTCCAAAATCTGTTTTACTACTACCCTTAAAGGTACCCTTCTCCATTTTAATGCCGCTTCATTAAACTTTGTTGGGGCAAGAGAAATAATTGATCACTGTAAATCATTTTATACCAACTAAAAACTCAAAAGTCAAAATTATCCTTTTTGCTTTTAAGTTGATTCTAATGAGCCCTGCACAAGGCTAATTGCAACACAACCGGTTTCTCTTAATTATTATTTTCTAAATGGTAAATGCCTAGTGTCGGTGGGACCGTTAAGGAGAGGTCTGTTATTGGTAGCACTAGAAATTGGCTCAATTTTTCTGGACAGCAATCTAGTGACATGTAATAAGAACCATAAAACTGTTCATACCCTCTGACCTGGTAATTTCACTTTGGGGAATAAGCCCAAAGAAAGAAAGAATAATTGGCCCAGAGATGCTCAACACACCACTATTTGCATCAGTAAAGATGTGCTTTGCTCCTTGCTGGGGTGGGGGTGGAGAAGGGGGTAGCTGCCTTGGGGTTGAGGGGCAGGAAGCATTCACAGGCAATCAACAATTCAGGATTACACTACCCTGTAATCATCAATAGGTTCCCAGTATTTACAGACATGGAAGAAATGATTTCTGGAGTCCGAAGTAGAGACTGAAAAGGAAGAAAAAGGAAAAAGGAGAACCTGCCCATCTGATCGTTTTTATGTTACAATGAAAGGTGGGTAAACCTCTGAGGCTGACCCGTGTTTGAACCAGCAAGCCCAGTATCTGTTTTCTCTCAAGTAGCCTCCTATTTGTCTATAGAAGCTAAAGGGTCTTTTATTATTATTTAAAAACAAAACAAAAAAAAAAACTTACACATAATCACTCTTACCAAGAATGCTGGGGAAAAAAAACCTTAAGATGATTTCAGTGATACCATCAGTATTCTTTTTAGAAAATATTATGTACTGCCAAAAAACCCCACCTCTCTGAAAAAACAAAACAAAAACCACTCTAACTGCTAAATCTTCTGACATTGCAAAGACCCCTGACTTTTAACTTGAATGATCTGTTGGAAGTCAATGGACTGGAACGAATAATTCTCTTCCAGTGATGTGAGACAACAGGATATTCATGCTTGAGAAAAAAATTTTCTTCCTCCATAGACTATTAAAATCTCCCTAAGAAACCACTTAAAAATAAAAATGCAAGTGGCGTTTTTCGATTGCTAGCAACTCTTCACCTAGATGCTGACAAGGAAAAAAAAATCAAAGTGCTGCACTCTGGTTTCCTAGAGTTTACAGGCTTAAGAGTCTCATGAAAAGCTGATGAATATTTTCTTCAACAACAAACTTCTGCTTCACGATAACCATAGTGTTTGGAAATAAAATCATGTCCGATCAACACCACTTAGCAGATATTTAATGTTTCACAACAGAACTCTTTTCCAGAGTGGAACTGTGGCCCTTCTCACTAACATTCAAAATAATTAGGATTATCTTAGCTGTCCAAAGCTTGGCAGGTTCAGTTTGCACTTTCAAACAGCATTAATTCTTGGCACTCAGAACAAGGGATAAAAGCTAAAGATATGAATGGAGATCTTTATTCAACCTGATCTATCATGGATTAGCTCATTCTTTTCCAGTTCATGCCTGCACTCTAGTTAAGAGGAAGGCTAAGCTGTAACTGATGTAATTAGAAACCACAAGCTGAGAAAAAATAGCCCCCCTTTTTTTTAATCTTCCCCATTTACTATATATTTACTAAAAAAAAAAGAAAAATCTTTGAAACAATTAAATGTGTTTTTTTTTTCCATTTAAGTGTAATTAAAGAATCGTGACAAGAGAGAAGGGCTGTTCAGGATTATGCTTTCCTTGAAAATATAGCTTAATTCCCAGTTCTAAAATCTAACACCAGTTTTGAGAGGGGCCAGCTTTGCACTTGCATGCTGTATAGAGAAGTGGCCAGCCACGGTAAAGGAGACTAAGGTACATTATCCGTGCTTCTTCCTTGATACAACAGTCATAACCTCGGTAAGCACAGGGAATTACCATTTTTAAAGATGAAGTGAACTTAGAAAGTACATACTATGCAATAGCAACAGTACCTCTTTCCCTCTAAATTATAACATGCATACACAATTCACAAAATAATAACATTTTTCTTAACTGACCCCCTTCACCCGTTAAGACAACTTCATTCTCAGAAGTCTATCAGGCGTCC